TGAGTGATTTTCTTTATTTGTTTTCATAGATTTTGTAGCAAACTTGCAAAAATCATATTTGGAGTTAGGAGTGTCCAAATGAGGTGAACTAAATTTTGTTAGATTCATCATGAAGTATACTATTTGATAAAAATATAAAACCTACTGTTTGGGATATTTTTCTAGGAGAATTAAATTGAGCTTGATAAGTGCTTTTAAATTTATTTCCATCTTGTAAAATGCATATCTTGACCAAGGGAAGTGCAAAAATTATGATTCCAATTTTGCTGGTCTTGTGTTGACATGCTCTGGCTAGAAAAAATACTAAACATATAGTAGGCATACTTGGAATATGGTCTTTCTATTTAATCTTATTTAATTGCTAGTTTCTAGTGAAAATAAATGGGGTAAAAATATATAACATATGATCATGCAAATTTTTACACAGTGTTCTTATGCTAGGATTAAAGTAAGAAAAATATTAAATCTGTTGTTTGACACTTTTCACTAGGCTAAACTATTTTTGATAAAATAAGCCTATGCAACTTGTCATTAAAGTAAGAAAAATTATGATCATGCAAATAAGCCTATGCAGTTTTGAGAGTGTGTCCGCTGTAGACCACGGGGTCCAGATCTCCGATGCGGAGATCTAGCCCGTAGCTAAAGGCGGACACGGGCGCCGGTCCTCTGACGCTTGTGAACTCATAGTTTTCATGGCAGATGTGGCTACCGTGGGCCATTCCGCGAGTGAGTCCACCGTTGGTGCGAGGACCATCACTTCCTTCTCAACAAATGAGAGTGCACGACTGTCCTCTACCTAGCAAGCCAACTATTGGTGTTTTGTAAACCGGACTAGTAAATTTATACGATTGCCACGCTGCTCTAGGAAGACGATGGTAGCATCCAAAAGATATGAGGATTTATACTGGTTCAGGCCGAAGCCCTACGTCCAGTCTCAGAGATGATCGAGTGCGTGTTCCTCACTTGAATGCTCTGAAGTTCTTACAATGGGGGGTGCAAGAATGGTGAAAGAGGTAGGAGAGCTAGAGCTAAGAGATGAGCTGCCTGAAGGGAAGCTTTAGGAGTCTGGTGGTGTGAAGAGAATGAGAATGTGTGTCTCCCCCTTGGGATGGTGCCCTAGTTGCCCTTATATAGAGTTCAGGGCCAGGGCATGTACAAAGAAGAAGCTTCTTCCGACCAAGGGATTGTGAGCCTAAGGGAGGAACCTAGCTAACTTGGCATGCAAGCTACGTCGTCTTGTGGTGCACGTCTGGGCATGGTTGTCGTTATGGTCTTGTGCCCATGTCGCGGTAAGGTGTGGCGTGGTGCCACTGTGCTGGCCATGGCGGCACTGTATAGGCACGACGGTGGTTCGCCAGCCATCTGGTGTGATGTGGTCTCCACTATAGTCTTCGTCATCGTCTCCTGGTTTCCTAGGGGCATCGTACAGGAATTACTAGCTGCCCCTGGGTCACCAATAGCCTGGTCATCTTCTGGAGTTGGTGGCCACGATCTCGAACTCTAGGGTCGTGGCTTCTGCTAGTCTGGATGGCCTCCAAGTCAAGGCCTCCGTCGTGGATTCCATCCCGTAGTGGGTAGAATCGTACGTGCATCTTGTTGGGCCATATCTGGACAGTGGGCACCGTACCTAGACATCGCCGTCATGCAATGTTGTCTTGTTTGTGCTACATGGTGCAGGGATGGCATCTGACCAGACCGAGGTGACCGCTGTCCCCTCGGTCCTTGCGGGATCTGTGCAGCATGCTCACTCTTGTCAGAGCAGGCACTCTTAGCTGGGTCCAACCTCTCCTCGTTCCTCCCAGGGGTCGGGACGGTGGAGAGGTCGTGATTTTCTTATGTGTCGTGCGGCTAAGTCTGATGAAGGGGTCATGGCCGACTTTGGCCTTAGCGCTTGGCCTAGTTTTCTTGGATCAGCTGGCCCTCGGTCGTTCGGGCCCTTGCTAGCTAATGTATCGTGGCCAGCTCGGCCTGCTAACTAGTCAAAGGCTTAAGACACCCGGGGATCATAATCCCGACACAGTGGCTGTCGCTCAAAAAGATAGAGCCCAATAGAGCTTGGGCTGGTCTGGGACATATAGGTGCACCCAAATGCCATGGCTACGTTTAACATTTGGATGGAGACTCGTGTCGGGGATGGGAGTAGCACACTTTTCTGGTCAGACCGATGGCTTATTGGCTGCTCACTTCAAGAAATTGCACCGACTGTGGTGGCTGCTATTCCACAGAATACCGCACACGTCGCACTGTAGCAGAAGCTTTACAAGCTCATGACTGGCCAGCAGACATCAGAGGAGGACTCTCTTTGATTGGTTTGTTTGAATTTTTTTGGTTGTGGGATATCCTCTAGGAGACAATACTGACCCAGGATGCAGATGTCCACCTTTGGAGGCTAGAAGCATCAGGTTGTTTTCATCAAAGTCTTCTTATCCGGCATTTTTTAATGGTTCTATTACTTTCAAGCCTTGGCGTCGAGTTTGAAGATCATGGGCTTCAGCAAAATGCAAACTTTTCCTTTGGTTGGCAATAAGGAATACGTGTTGGATGGCTGACAGACTCGCGAGGAGAGGACTTCCACATCCCAGTCACTATCCATTTTGGGACTAGGAGGAGGAGAACATCCAGCATCTCCTGACCACCTGTGTGTTGGCACAGGATTTTTGGTACCGGATTCTATCTGCGTTGGGACTACAAGATCGAGTACCTAGCTCTCATGAAATTTCCTTCGGTGATTGGTGGCGCAAAGCTATAAAGAACCTGCCTAAGGAAAAGAAGAAGGGGCTAAACACGGTAATTATTCTGGGGGCATGGATCCTTTGGAAGCATCGCAATGCTTGTGTCTTTGATGGAGCTCCACTGAGGATTTCTAGCCTCATGTAGGCTTTCAAAGATGAGAAGTTGTGGCGTCTCGCGGGTGCACAAGGCCCATGGACTCTCGGTCTAGGTCACGGCTTGGGCTAGTTAATTCTAGTTTGTAAGGGTTTTTGGTCAGGCCTCATCCTTCTGTTTTTTGTTATCAGTGCAAACTTTTTGTTTCATTCAACCCCTCATGGCTAGGCCTGGAGTGAGGTGGTGGTGTTCATGTAAGGGCCGATCCTGTCCTCCCTGTAATACAAAGATGCACAACTCTCCCACGCATTCGAGAAAAAAAGGACCAACGGGTCCATCTTTAGTCGACTCAAGTGAGACCACCCTTTACTTGATCAAATCTCCATCATGATCGAATTCATGATCATGGTTCAAATTCTAGTTCATCCATAATAACCATAAGTTGAAATTGACAGTTCGCATATAGCATGCCATTGCAACATCTTGACCTCTATTGTGTCTAAGATGGCTACAAGAAATTAAATTTTCCAATACTAATATGCATACTTTTGATATAATAAGTTGTCCTAAAGGTAGGGACGAATATGTCACAAGCGCGATCTACTAACTTTTCTCAAGTGAGAGATCCAACTGTAAGAAACCAAAACTCTAAAGTGGATTCGAATAAATTGGTGCCTACCTGGTACTTGAGTGGTGCCATAATGGCTTCGGGATGCTCCTGGAATTGGGTGTCGATCTCTTTATTATGTGTGTGTGTGTGTATATATATATATATATATATATATATATATATATATATATATATATATATATATATATAGATTAGATAAAGGCCAAAGATGTGACGTTGAGCGAAAGATGGAGTCAAATGGTCACATGAGTGTTTAGTTCAGAGTCACGGTGGGATAGAACAGACTCAATCTAGCTTTTAGGGATAGGACTGATCATGTTTTATGTTTGGTTGTAGGGGATAGGACGGTCCATGTTTTCTATTTGGTTTAGGAACAAAAGGTTTTAGATGAATCTGGCATGAGGGGTCTACCTGTCGGCCTCTTTTCTAGGATTGCAACAACTTGTGAGGCCCACTGGTCCCACCTCATCCAACCATACCCTCGTTTCCGAGGACAGGGGCATCCAAATTTGAGAGAATATCCCAAAAATATTCCCTAGAGGGATACTTAATTCCACTCGACTATGAACAAACAACACCTTTGGAATGAGGACCGCCCCACATCATTCTTCGTGGTCCCATAAACCAAAATACACTTAGGTAGCGTTTGGTTGAGAGACATCGTGGTGTGGGATGGTCCTAATTCCGGTTTGTAGGATGGGATGAGCCAATTTTCTGTTTGGTTGAGGAAGGACGTTACCTACCCATTTTGTGTTTGGTATGGAGACATCAAAAAGTTGGACTAGGTACTGACAGGTGGGGCCCATTTGTTAGTTATTATTTTTTTGTTTTGTCTCCCTCCTATCCTTATCTCCTTTGTCCCCAACCGCCGCCCAACACCGTGCAGACCTCACGTGAGGAGGAGTGCGATGATGGAGCTCCCTCGCTTGGTTTGCCCCTCGTGCTCCGCCCCCCCCCCCCCCCCCCCCGCCCCGCGTCTCCTCGCGCCGCCGACGCCCATGAGCGACCCCTCACGCCGCCACCCGTCGGCGACCAGAGCCCTCACCCTCGCCCCGTGCGCGGCCACGCCCTGGAGCCCTGTGCTCGGTTCTCCTCTTCCTCCTCTGCTCGTGTGCTCGCAGGGCCGGACTTGATGGTCACACATCATTCGGCAGGCCATACCCAGAGCTCGCGCGACGCTCTTCTTCCTCAACAGCCGCCCCTCCCCTTCTCTTTTTCCTCTGACCACGCACGCGTGCGCTTGAGCCGCAACGGCCATCCCACTTCGCGTTACTCTGTCCGTCCAATTTCTGGGGGCAGGTCATCCCAAATCTTGATGGAATATACCCTAGTGGGATCATCCCCATCCCATGCCACCGCATCCCACCACCAAACAAACAGCACCTTAAGAGGCTTAGTAAACACGAACTTGAATATGGTTATTGACTTAGGATATGAAGTTAAAATAACACTATTTTCCGAATGTGTCAATGCAATGCTACGGTTCATAGAAGTGTGCTGACACGAGCAATGCCAATATATACACATGCATCCAGCATCCACTCTACAGAACGGCGGGGATTAAACATCCGTACACTGGGATCGCATGGAAGAATACGGCCACCGGTGCTACTGGCACCACCAAGAACAAGAATACAGCAGTAGCAGGCGGAGGGAACACCTGGACCCTCTGCTGTCGTGCCACTGCCACAGTTGCCAGCGCCTCGACTCCGCTATCGGCTTGGGCAACACAAGCGGCACCACGAGCTGTGTATTCCGTCGTAGAGCTCTGTGCCGCCGCAATCGCTGCCAGTGCGTCGAATCCGCTATCAGCTTGTCCCGTCGAAGCAGCAACACCTGACGATGATGTCGCGGACGAAGAGGCTGCGTTCCCCGTAGCTGAGCGCTGCGCAGCCGCGATTTCTGCAAGGGCTTCGAATCCACTATCAACTTGGGTTTCGGAGCCTTCAGCACTTGACAATGCCATCGATGGAGCCGGCGTGCAAGTGGAAAGCGCCTTGGCGCTCTGCGCCCTTGTGAGCGTGAACGTCGCTCTCGCTGGTGCCACACCGCGTCCTTGCTTTGAACTCTCCAGAAGCGACGGTGACGACGCTGGCCGTGGGATGCCATCCGGTGTGAGCCGCGGCGGTACATTGATGGGGAACAGGAATGCCCGGACGCGGCCGTCCCAGGAGGCCAGGCCATTGCAGCAGTAGAGGCGCGTCACGAGTACCCACAGGTCGTAGTCGTCGGCCACGTCGTGGAGCGTGTCCAGTCCGTCCCCGCCGGGGCCGGCAACCGCGTATTGGATGCGAACGTCTGAGTACCCGGCCAGAGCCGCCAACCGTGCGCGGAGCTCGCTCAGGCGCTCAGACATGCCGACCCGGACGATCCGGTTCTCGCCCCGGGCGTACCAAGCCTTACCGGTGTCGGAGCATCTCATGATCTCCCCGCCGTAGCTGACAACCATCTTTACCGCGGAGCCGCCGTCGGCAGCCATGTCCAGTACCATCGGAGGCCGACTCGTCGCTAGTGGTCTTGCTATTCGAGGATCAAAGGAGATAGCAGAAGTCTGTTGTTGGTCGATGTCCTTCTTACGTTCATGGACCGCGCCTATTCCTATTATAGCAAGCGGTTACGATTCCGAGTAGCACGCGGCGGACTACAAGCGTGCACGAGTCACTTACCGGAGAGTGACAAGGTTTAGGATTGCTAATCATATCTTGAGTCGGAGATAATCAGATTCAGACGGGAGATACTCGGTGAAAACGATACTTGACTTGTTACCTGCCAAACAATTTCCGAATTAATCGAACTGGAGAGCGACTGCATACCCGATATAGTGACATGCAAATATATCTCTTAGATCACTGTTGATTTTTGTTTAACCAATAGGAACATGACACTTGACACACATTCAATCAAATTTTCTTGCCAATAGATATCAAGCTGTATTCACTGAATCAAATTTTCTTGCCAATGGATATCAAGCTGTATTCACTGTATATCATCGAAGTATGGGAAAGTCACCAAACGGTATAGCCGTATAGGTTTATAATTAGTTACTCCTCTGGTCCTAAAATACAAGGCATTTTAAGAATTTTATTAGGACAGATTGTTGGTGAAACTGTAACCCTTTATTAACTGTGGAAATATCTTTTGCTTAGAGCAAGTATAATAATAGGCTGTAAGAGCATCTCCAAGTGTTCCCAAAAGACCCTCTTAATCTAGGATTTTTAGGAAGATTGTGAAAAACACGTCTCCAACAGCTCATAATCCTCGGAAATCTTATGGTCCGAACATTCGGACCGGATGCACAAACCGAAGGGAGCACGGAAAACGCGCCGAAGGTAGCATGGGAAACCACACGTGCGGGAATACGTAGCAAAACGAAACGACGGCTGGGAGCACATGTCGTAGCGTTAGTTTGTTTGTTTTTCTCTTTTTCTTATTATTCTCTTAGTTTTTTTCTTTTTCTTTTCATTTCTTTTGTCTTTATATTTTTTCTTTTCGTGCTTCATTTGCTATGTTTATTTTATTTTTTGTTTATTGAGATTTTTTATTATTATTTTAATTTTTATGTTTTAATGTTTTTTATTTCTTTTTCTTTTTTCCTTTTTTCCTTTTCTTATTATTTTTTTATGTTCGCGTGCTGTACATGTGACGTTCTATTTTTATCTTTTCTTTTTTCTTTTGATTTCACTTGATTTATTTTCTTTGTTTCTTTTCTAATTATGTTTTTCTTTGATTCATGTCTTTTATTTTTAATCTTTTTTTTTTCTTTTTTCTTTTTTCTTTTTCTTTTTTCTTTTTCTTTTTTCTTTTCTTTTCTTTTTTTTGTGCATCATTTATTTTTTATTTTCTTTTCTTGTTTTAAGTGTCTATTATTATTTTATTTTTTATTTTTTTACCTTTCTTTTATTTCTTATTTCTTTTCTTTGTTTCTTATTATTTTTTTATGTTCTATGTTATTTTTTTATATTTATGTAATATATATGTGATATTCTATGTTTTTTTATGTTCACGTATTATATATGTAATGTTCTGTGTTTTTTATTGTTCACGTGTTAGGCATGTAATGTTCTATGATGTACTTTGCGATGTTTACGTAATATATATATGATGTTCTCGCATTATAAATGTGATGTTCTATGATGTTTTTCGTGATGTTCACTTAGTATAAATGTGATGTTCTAGGATTTATTCAGTGATGTTCGCATAATATATATGCGACATTCTATAATGTATTCAGTGATGTTCTATAGTGTATGTAGTGATGTTCACTTAGTATATATGTGATATTCCATAGTATATTTTAGGATGTTTGGAAAGTATCCATGTGATGTTCTTTTAAATTTTTCTCTATTATGCGTTTTTTTTCTTATGCTTTGCTCTAGATTTTATTATTTTTTATTTATGTTATGCATTTTATTTATTTTTATGTATATTATAATACCAATATCATGAACCTAAAAGCAGAATACAGTTCTTCTAAATCGAGAACATTTTTCTTATGAAGACAGAACATTGTTCTCTGAACCTAGAACATCATCTCTGCTCAATAAAAGAAAGTGTTCTTATCTTTATAAGATAAATGTTCGTTAATACAATTTTGTTTAAAATATTCATGTGGGATCTTGTTTTGAAGAATTTATTGCAAGAAACTAAATGGTGTAATCAGAATTTAATTTGGATGATTACTTTAGTAGTTATGACTTTTTTAGTTTATTTAAGGTCACTGTTGAGAGACGTGCGTGAGGTGGTCTTATCTGTGCAATAATTGCCGGCACTAGGATCCCTCACGCGCGCGCTTCCTATTTTCTACCAATCCTTGGCATTTTCTACGTCTTTTGGATGCCTAGGCCTACTGTCAGACCGTATACGTCTACGTATCTTCCGTATGGACCAAATACCCTGCTGCTTCTCTCTACCTCCACTCGCTGACATGTGGGTCCCACACGTCAGCTTCACCTTCAACCTCTAGCTGGTGCAAGGTCTGAGATGGCACCGCCTCAGCCGTGGATTGTTGGTGTTTCTTAGCATAAGTAGAAGAAATCCGTAAGTGCATGGATATACCATTGTAACATTTCACCCAAAAGTATTCAGGGTATCGTATTTTCTCGGATGTGTAAGGTCTCTTAAGCTAGTTCTCCTAAGAAAACAAGAAGAAGGATAAGGGTAGTGAGGTTCTTCTAAAGGTAGATTTCCTAAATGAAGATAACCTTATCACTATAGACTTGCTTCGGGTACTGAAGTACACTTGGTCTGCTAGGCGATATCGGCTTACAGCTCTATACCAAACCCAAACATGGGGGATTACAAGGGATGGACAGGGTAGTCACCACCTATCGCCTACCCCTCAACCGTGGGGAACAAGGCAAACAAAGGTAACTTCTAGCTCAGACACCACATCTACGTTATCGTTTACTACTCTAGCGTTGGCTAGGAACTTCCATCTTTATCAGGAGTCCTCTACTAGAGTATCTGCCATAGGGACGGACGATGAACCTGCAAGCTTATAATGAACAATGATAACTTACTTAAGGAATCAATACCAAAAGATGAACACAAACTTCTTACTTCAAGTAGTAAGACAAACGTAGAGGTACAAGTGTGGAGGAGTCGTTAGCTTCAGCACTCGTTCCGCTAAGTGTACAAGTGCACCGAGAACACTAGTGGAGGTAGCCGACAACTCTAGTACTTCTCCAACTCTTCACTCTCTTACTCCCTATACTATTCTAGCTAGAAGCTAAAGATATGAGTGGAGCTCTTCTTCTTCTCTTGTGTATACTTGTGTGTTGAAATGAGGAGGCCTCCCCTTGCTTATATAGCTCTCTTAGGACGGTTTGGGGGAATATTCCAGGGGAGATACCCATCCAACCATACTAAGGGGCATTGAATGCACCACCTCCCAAAAGGTGGGCCCGGTTGGCAGCCTCTGGGGTGCGGTTCGTGGGGGCAGTTGCTGGATGGGCCTAGGCCTCTTTTCCGTGGGTGTGGCCCCCAAATTCTTCAGATGAATGGGCCTTGCTCTTATTTGTTTGAATGCGCCTTCTGATTTGCACATTTTGATGTACTTTCATGTATTCTTCCTACAAAACTTTATAAACACCAAAACTTGTGGAGAATGTGAGTTGAAATTCCTAATTCTATGTTTTGGTATTCACATTTGCTTATTTTATTTAAATGTTGGCGGTAAGATTTATGAGTTAGCACCACCAACAAGCTTCCCCACACTTAGTCATTTTCTTGTCCTCGAGTAAAGTTCTAAGGACTAAACGGTTTCATCTCCTTGATTTGAAATCTGCATACAAGTTATTCCAAGTTTACCTGAACCTGTGTACTTCTGAGTGTCTACCAAAATATCTTGTGTAATTGAAAAATGGAACAGCTTAGAATCAAATCTCCTTAAGATAGCTTATGTTCCTTGAATGATTCTCTCATGTCACTCAAATCTGTAAGTGTCTTCCTCACCAAGGCATATTTTCAATGTGTGCCTTCTTTTGAATCATCATTGTAACACCCTAAAACTTGCATCATTTAAAAATAGGTTAATTTGATTTATTTATGCATTTTTGTGAGCATTTGAAATTAGAGAAATAATAACTTTTGTTAAATTAAAAGCAACTATAAGGTCTAGCTATATGTTTGTGCATACATGCTACTACATATTATTTTATTGAGTGGTTTGATTCAAAATTAAAAAGGAATTCAAAATCCATTTGAAAATTTCTTTTGAAAAGTTCTGAAAATAACAAGAAAAGGCGAAGCCTTTCCTCCCTCACTCTCCCTCTCATTTGGCCTGCTCAGCCTTTCCCCTCCTCGCAGCCCAGCAGCTAGCCTGCCTCCCACGGCCCGCACTAGCAGGCCGGCCCAGCAAGCCATGTGGGTGCTCCCCTCTTCCTCTCTCTCTCTGTCCGGCTGATGTAACATAACCGTCCAATTTATAAGAGCACAAGTACAATGGCAGCCCGCAAATGGTCGCACTGTCATACTTGAGTGCATATAAACCCGGTAGTCCGTCGAGTACCACGAAGGGTCTCGATTTATCACCAACATACAACCAAGATCGTACATTATTCAACATACATGCCACATGTTGCATAAGGTTCACAAATACATTGCCATACATCAGAGTGCGATTACAGTTATTAGAACCCAAGTTCCAAATAAAGTAGTAGTAGCGGAAGCAAAGTAGTTTTAAAACCAACATCTCACACTATTGTTTAATACAAGCTAGTTCATGATCACCACCCACAAAAGCATCACATATAAGATATATAAGTAGAAGCACCTTGCCCGGGGCCTACTCCTTGTCCACAGTGGGACAAAAGCAATTCTTACAGTAGTCATGATACACTGTATTATCTACAACAAGTGAGAAATAAACCTTAAGTATAAGAAGGTACTCAGCTAGACTTACCCATCATAAACTAAAAATAAAGTGACTCTATGGATCATGAGAGGCTTTATAAGTGGAGCTAGCTTGATAACATTTTGCATAAAAAGCCA